GGTATAGTGTGTATACTTCGGTCCCCGCATGGGTCGGTCCCGAAAGGTTATCTCCTTGCCTCGCCCCCTGTATGGTTGCTCTGTTTGCTTCTCTGGCTTGCTCGATGGTTCGGCTCGGGCTTGATTGCGATATTTAGCCAATTCTTCCATTTGCATATATTTATCGGCCCGCCTTTGTAAATCATTCATGTCCGAATGAGGCTTTTTACAGATGTTATTAACAAACGGCCCAGGCTTTAAAGCTGTTGTCAGGTGATGCAGTGCAACAGCCGGATTGAGATCACAAATTTCCAAAGCAGTCTTGTTGAACCGATCCATAAATGTCCGAAGGGACTCTTTTTTGTCCTGGCGAAGATTGACCAGGGATAGAGATGTCAAACTATGAGGTCGGCTCGTTGCATTTAAATGAGTTGAGTTCCAGGTCCGAGGAATGGTTTTTCCTGAGAGTTCTTCTAATTTGTACGCTCCGTTCTGAAGGTTGTGTCGTATTCTGAAGGGGCCATCCCAATTGGCTGCTAGCTTCCCTTCGCGGGGGTTGCGTCTCGCCAATCCTTATGCTCTCCATACCAAGTCCCTTTCCTTAAAATCACGCCGTGTGAGGTTGAAATTATACCTCCGGGTCATTCTTTGTTTGCACGCTTCGGCTACAAGGTGAGCCCGATCGCGCATCTCATCAACCATATCACCTTCGACCCGAAGCGATGTGTCATTAGAAGCCTCGTCAAAATGTGTTCGGCGGAATGACGGTTCCCCAACTTCAACTGGGATCATCGCTTTCGTGCCGTATGTTAACCTGAATGGGGTTTCTTGTGTCGTGGATTGAGGGGTGCAACGATAGGCCCATAGTACCTCCGGAAGCTCCTCTGCCCAGACCCCTTTGGCATCCCCTAAGCGTTTCTTTAACTTCGAAAGAATTACTTTGTTGGCCGCCTCGGCTTGACCATTCGCTTGGGGGTGTTCGACTGATGTGAATCAGTGTTTGATTCCCAGATCTTTGAGGAATTTATTGAACTTGTGATCGGCAAATTAGAGTCCATTATCAGTTATTATAGCATAGGGGATTCCGAAACGCGTAACAATACTCTTCCAAAGGAATTTTTGAACATTACTGGTTGTGATAGTGGCGAGTGGTTCGGCCTCGATCCACTTGGTAAAGTAATCAACTGCAACTAGCAAGAACTTGCATTGTCCTTTGGCAAGAGGAAAAGGCCCTAGTATATCCATGCCCCAAAGGGCGAATGGCCAAGGCGAACTGATGGAGTGTAGTTGCTCGGCTGATGCATGTATTAAGTTGCCATGCTTTTGGCACTGGATGCATTTTTTGACATAATCCATGCAATCAGTTTTGAGTGTTGGCCAATAGTAACCGGCCCGAAGAACTTTTGCTGCCAACATTCTGCTCCCCGAGTGAGACTCGCAGATCCCCTCATGAATTTCCCTTAATACGTAGTTGGCCTGTTCGGGGTCGAGACATTTAAGTAGCGGAGATGAAAAGCCTCTTCGATAAAGCTCTCCCCCTACGACTGAAAATCTTGCAGCTTGAGTTCTCAACTTTTTGGCTGCCGAAGGGCATGATGGTTGAATGCCTTCGGTAATAAAGCGCACGATATCGGTCATCCATGTCATAGGTGGTTCGGAAATTGCCAAACAAGCAGTAATGTCCACGCTTGGTGATGAAAGCTCAAGATGAAGGGTAGTTCGAAGTTGCCCCGGCTTGCAGTTGCTAGTTGCCAACCGAGCCAGCTGATCGGCTCTTTCATTGTTTTCACGGGGGCAGTGTTTCACAACAACCTCCTCGAAATGTTGGGACATGTTTCGGAAGGTATGATAGTATTTTAACAAATGGGCGTCCTTAACCTGAAAATTATCATTTACCTGCTCTGACACAACTTTTGAATCAGTCCAACAGATAAGTTTTCGAACTCCTACCTCCCGAGCTAGTTGTAATCCAGCCAAGAGTGCCTCATATTCGGCTTGGTTATTGGAGGCTTTAAAGGCGAAACGAAGTGACTTCTCAAGTGTTAAGCTTGTCGGTCCTTCCAGAATTATCCCCGCTCCACTGCCATGATTGTTAGACGAATCGTCTACATGAATCGTCCACTGATCATTCTCGAAACGTCCGGTTGGCTGTAACTCATTGATGAAGTCAACCAAACATTGTGATTTGATCGGACCTCTTGGTTCGAATGATATGTCAAATTCTGACAATTCGATAGACCATGCCATCATCCGTCCCGCTAACTCTGGTTTCCTCAGAACCTTAGCAATTGGACAATCAATGCGTACAACGATCTTATGCCCCTGAAAGTACTGCCGAAGCCTGCGTGCCGTATGAACGAGGCCAAGTGCTACTTTTTCAAGTAATTGATATCTTGTTTCCGAATCCTGCAGCATTCGACTGACAAAATAGATAGGCCTTTGAGTTTCACTTTCTTGTATTAACACCGCACTGATGGCTTCATGTGAAACGCATAAGTAGACAATGAGGTCTGAATGAGGGTTAGGTTTTGAAAGGATTGGAGGTGTTCCAAGACGTTGCTTCAATACTTGGAAAGCCGCTTCACACTCTTCCGCCCATGCGAACTTGTGTGCCTTTTTCAGTAAACTTAAGATTGGTTTGACTGTTTCGGTGAGACATAGGAGAAATCTCGACAATGCCGTAAACCGACCTGCCAACCGTTGTACTTCTTTCAGATTTTGAGGACTTCTCATGCTGATAATTGCTTGGCACTTATCAGGGTTGGCTTCGATACCCCTAGGCGAAAGCATGAAACCAAGGAACTTGCCACCTCCAATGCCGAACGTGCATTTTCGGGATTGAGTCTCATATCATATTGCTGAAGCTGCCAGAATATCTCTATTAAATTCGTGAAATGGATATGGAGGTCCTTTGACTTGACGACCATATCGTCCACATAGACTTCCATGTTTCTGCCGATTTGATATTTGAACACTTTGTTCATGAGTCTTTGATATGTGGCTCCTGCATTCTTCAGGCCGAATGGCATTACCCGATAACAATAGTTGGCCGAGTCGGTGATAAAAGCAGTTTTTTCTTCGTCCTGGGGATGCATCTGTATCTGATTATACCCTGAATAGGCATCAAGAAAGGTCAATATATTGTGTCCGGAGGCCCCATCAACCAAACGGTCAATGCTGGGCAACGGGTAGGCGTCCTTCGGATAATCCTTGTTCAGATTTGTGTAATCGGTGCACATCCGCCATTTCCCATTAGCCTTCTTGACCATAACTACGTTTTCTAACCATGTTGAGTATTGGACTTCCCGAATGAATTTTGCCTCGAGGAGCTTGGTGACCTCCTTCTCAACAGCCATTTTTCTTTTAGTTCCCATCTTCCTTTTCCGTTGAGCTACCGGCCTGGCCTCTCGGCAAACAGATAATTTGTGACACATCACTTTTGGGTCAATGCCTGGCATATCAGAGGGTACCCATGCAAAAAGATCTTTGTTTTGCCGAATGATCTTGCCCAATGCTTATTGATCTGATTGAGGCAATCCGGTCCCGAGATATGTGACTTGAGACGCTTCTGAACCGATTTGAAAAGCGACCTTCTCCTCGGTTGACTCCATTCTTTCGTCTTCATTCATTCTAGGATCCAAATCCCAGGTTGGGGGTGTATCTGCTGCTGAAGGGTGTACCACATGAATTCTCTTTGATTTTGCTTGCTTTTCTTCAACAGGGGTTACTCGCAAACTAGCAAAGTAACATTCTCGGGCCGCCTTCTGATCGGCATGAATTGTGAGGTTTTTCCCCTTATCAGATGGGAATTTCATTGCCAAATGTGGTGTGGAAACTATAGCTCCCAACCTATTTAACGATGGCCGACCCAGGAGAATGTTGTAAGACGTATTAGCATGCACTACTATATACTTGACCTGGATATCTTTATACTCTTGTTCGTCAAAACAAAAACGAGTGAACAGTTTAATGTACCCCCTTGTACTTACTTTTTCTCCTAAGAAGCCGACTAGTGGCTCATCATATGGGATGAGTTCATTGTCGGAGATACCCTGATCTAACAATACAAGATATCTGCTGAACTACCCTGATCTACCAATGTCTTTTTGACTATGCAATTGTGGATTTCAACACTAATTACCATTGGATCATCCTGCACGGGATCGATTCCTTGGAAATCGGTATCAGTGAAAGTTATAGCTGGTAACCTCCGAATGGGTTGTCTGTCGACCGCGCTGACCGATCAGACGGCGCGCAAATGCCTCTTCTGGGCTGAAGAAGTTGGGCCTCTGCCAGCAAATCCCCCTGCGATAGTGTTGATGACTCGCCTATGAGAAGCTATAGGCTCATCTTTCCTATCACGTGATCGGCTTCGCTCGCGACGAGGTCTATCTGAACGGTCTTGCCGAGGCTGATCATGTTTTGGCTGATATTGGCGGGACCGAGATGAGTCGACCCGATCAACAAAGTTATGAAGTCGACCTTGTTTGATTAAATCCTCAATTTTGTCTCTGAGAGTCGCGCACTCCTCGGTAGAATGTCCACGATTGCGGTGATACCGACAAGATTTGCTGGTATCATCGCGTGGAGGAGTGGAAGCCCTTTTCGGAATGGCCAGTACTTCCGATTCCAACGCGTGTTGAAGCACCGCGGATCGACTTGTGTTGAGAGGGGTATAGTGTGTATACTTCGGTCCCCGCATGGGTCGGTCCCGAAGGGTTATCTCCTTGCCTCGCCCCCTGTATGGTTGCTCTGTTTGCTTCTCTGGCTTGCTCGATGGTTCGGCTCGGGCTTGATTGCGATATTTAGCCAATTCTTCCATTTGCATATATTTATCGGCCCGCCTTTGTAAATCATTCATGTCCGAATGAGGCTTTTTACAGATGTTATTAACAAACGGCCCAGGCTTTAAAGCTGTTGTCAGGTGATGCAGTGCAACAGCCGGATTGAGATCACAAATTTCCAAAGCAGTCTTGTTGAACCGATCCATAAATGTCCGAAGGGACTCTTTTTTGTCCTGGCGAAGATTGACCAGGGATAGAGATGTCAAACTATGAGGTCGGCTCGTTGCAAACTGAATTGCGAACTGGGAAGACAAATGTGTTGAACGAATCAATGGAGTTGGAAGGGAGTCGAGTAAACCAACTCAGGGCCCTGCCTTTGAGAGACGTCGAAAAAATCCGACACAAGGCAGCATCATCTGTTGTACTCAATGTCACTTGCGTCAAAAAAACATCCAAATGTTCATCAGGATTTGTTGTACCATCATACTTATCAATAGGCAAGGATTTCCAGTTATCCATTAAAGGGAGTTGCATAATGGAAGGAGTAAAAGGGTGACGATGCGAGCCAGCAGTGGCCAAGTCTGTAGGACGACCAACAGTATGTTGAGCCGAAAGGATTATTGGAGGTGTCGCCGCCGAGGCATGTGGAGCCGAGGTATGGACTTCATGAGACTGATAGGACCCCTGGGTCGGCATGTTGGTCACTTGAGTGGGTTTCCAGGTCGAATCATTTCTTAGTGCCTCGTTTTCGGCTCTTAATGCCGAAAGCTCCTTCGCATCCTTCTCCCGCTGTTGTTTCATCGCGGCCATCTCCTATTTTAATAAACGAACGGTTTCAGAGAGATCGGTCTCGTCCACCACTTCAACACGCTCCTCCTCGGGCTGTTGTTCTACCGTATTCGTTCTCCTTGTTATCGCCATTGTCTTGCTCAACTAATCTTCACAATCGTCTCAGTTTGGCCCCACGGTGGGCGCCAAATGTACCTGTCAAAAGGGGTACACCAGTGATCTTCTCGTAGTCTGAGGGCCGAACGAGAACTCCGATCCGATATGCTGGTGAAAGGGTTGGTACCTGCAAAAGGCACTCCAACGCTCAAGTCAGGACAAGCACGAATATCTAGGATAATTAATAAACAGTGACGTTACCTTATGACATGAGCTATTTATACTAACATTTATGGGCTCGGATTACCATGGGCCCTGCAACATGATTACCATATTAGGTAATATGCCTCTAATCGGCTTATTAGTGTAATTAACTCTTAATCCCTAATTAAAGGTAATTGTTAACTCTTGCTTGGGAATAACCTTAGCTTATGGACCATCTGGTGGCCGATCGGCGGTCGGCCACCTGGTTCGGCCATTCGGATGCCGGTCACTAGGTGGCCGAATGGCCTTACTAGTACAGTTACAAACTTATGAATAAAGTTTTTTTCATAATCACATGGTGATTCATCTTCCTCAAATTACTGTGATTTATATGTTTTCAAATCTTCTAATCAATATTTATTTTTAAAGAAACAATCATTAATCGTCTAATTCACTTTAGCACAAATACTACGAGTCATATATTGAGTGAAATAACAAGTTTGATTTACTACTTAAGTGTTGATGTTCTCTTGCTTTTTCCTTTAGTTGATAAAAACAAAATGAATTTCATTAATAATCTATTGAACAATGTAATAAGACCTATAGTTAAAGTCGTACAGACGAACATGAGAATCAGCTAACTTAGCCAAATTATGGCCACCGAATTCGCTTTTCTATTAGTAAAATTGACCATACTGTTTCTTAAGTTATCAAGTAACAATCTACATTTATGAATAATGGTTTCAAACTCAGAAATATCTTTGAGATGGTTGTTAATGCTAGAAGCTACCCTCTTGCAATCAACCTTAATATGTGACCAACTCCAGATTAAGGCTAATGGCCCACTTAAGAGCTTTATGCAGTGCAAGAGCCTCATGTTCGTGCGGGTCCGGAAGAAATGGGAAGAGACCATTCCTAAGCCTTCACAAAGGATCCATCATGGTTGCAAAAGCAGAAGCCAACACTGAAGGACCCCTTAACTACAAACAGTGCCACATCTATGTTGCACTTGAGCCCACCAACTTTAGGACTCTAACTGGGCAAGCTAGACATTCTATGTTCTTGTGGGCCTGGATCCATTGTGCAAGCGTATTTTTTAGCTCTCAGGATGATTTCCTGATAATTCCTATTCGTTCCATCCTGGAGTTTCCTGTTTCTACTAGTCCACATGCTCCACGTTAGCATGGCGAGACTCTCCATTTCATTATGAAGCAAAGATAATTTTTCTACCACGGAGTTGGCATTTCAACACTGCTGAGCATAGGTACAACCAATGATGAGGTTGTGCTAAGAGTTTTCTGTTATACATTATAGTGATCATCAGACAATGAATAACGTAAGATACAATATTACAGTATGTACGAGTAGAATTTAGAACGAATTGCGTACCCAGAATCTCATCCCTAGACAACACAGATTGAAAAGCATTCCAAATGGAAACAAAGTGTCCATCTACAATGTTGACCAGACCAAAGAAAGTCAAAGCATTAATGACTAATGCTCAGATGAAGATCAAGACTTGAGATGCACATGGACTATCAGACGCAGACGAAGACTGCCATACAAGTATTTGAAGAATCAAGTCTCAAGGGATAACTCAGGCATCGTCTACGATCATACAAGAGCTCTCAACATGATCGCGTGATTAAAGGAAGAGAAGAAGAAAAAGAAAAGAACTCCAAGAGTAAAAGCATGCATGTGTCAGAAAAGGTACATTACCTTTTCAGATAAAGACAACGCTCTACAGCTACGTGACTAGAAAAGGACAAAAAGTTCCTAGGTCAGCTAAAGTCAGACACTGCTGCTAACAAAATGAAGAAGACTTCACGCAATGTTTATAAATAGGAAGCAACATTTAATGCAAGATCTAATGCATTAATTGAGAAGATCGAACTAGTCATGAACGACTATATTCTGCTTCAACAGACATTTGCAACGGCATATCAAAGTGGCTATTTAACATAAATTTTGTCTCAGTCAAAAGTTCAACACTACTACTAGCAAGAAGAATATCATCAACATATAAGACAAGAATGATGAAATGGCTCCCACTAGTCTTCAAGTAAATGCACTGATCTGCGGCATTTTCCTTGAAGCCAAAAGAAGTGACCACCTGATCAAATTTCAAATACCATTGTCTAGAAGCTTGTCTCAGTCCATAAATAGACTTCTTCAACCTACAAACCAAATGCTCCTTACCTTTTTCAACAAAGCCATCAGGTTGAATCATATAAACTTCCTCAAATAAATCTCCATTCAGAAAAGCCGTTTTGACATCCATCTGGTGAAGCTCCAAATCAAAATGAGCTACTAAAGCCATAACAACACGAAAAGCATCCTTAGTAGAGACCGGTGAGAAAGTCTCCTTATAATCAATACCTTCTCTCTGACTATAGCCTTTTGCTACAAGTCTGGCTTTATACCTCTCAACTTTACCATCTGGACTACGCTTAGTTTTGAAGACCCATTTGCACCCAACTGGTTTACAACCAACTGGTAAATCCACAAGATCCCAAACATCATTATGGGCCATAGAAGCTAACTCATCATGCATAGCATTTAACCAATCAGAAGCAAAAGAACTAGAGATAGCCTCTCTAAAAGTGGTAGGATCATCAACATTACTAAGATCAAATTCATGCTCTTGAAGATAAACTAAATAATCATCAGGTATAGAAGACCTACGTACTCTTTGAGATCTCCTCAAAGGGATCTCTTCAACAACATCATCATGTACTTGTTCATCTACTACAGGTATTGTGACATCAAAATTATTTGGAACAACTTCATTGCCATCATGAACAACAGGAATCACATTATCTATAGGAAATGAAATAGGAGGTATAGGAACCAAAACGCGATCTTCTCTGAGAGTGACCGGTCGTGGTGTAATGCTTCCATTGTCCAAATCATCCTCAAAGAATATCGCACGATCAGATTCAATAACTCGCATAGAGTGAGAAGGACAATAAAATCTACTACCACGAGAACCCACACAATAACCAATAAAAAAACCGCTGATAGTTTTAGGATCCAGCTTTTTAAGTTGAGGATTATAAGGTCTCACTTCTGCCTTACAACCCCACACATGAAAATGTCTCAAACTTGGCTTCTTCCCAGATATAAGCTCATAGGGAGTCTTTGGAACAGATTTACTAGGTACTTGATTAAGAATGTACACAGCAGTCCTTAAGGCATCTCCCCAAAGGAAATCTGGTAAAGAGGAATGGCTCAACATACATCTCACCATTTCTAAAAGCGTGCGATTCCTTCTTTCTGCAACTCCATTCTGTTGTGGAGTACCGGGCATAGTATACTGAGCTTCAATCCCACATTCATCAAGAAATCTAGCAAAAGGTCCAGGATTTCTACCAGTCTCATCATACCTGCCATAGTACTCTCCACCTCTGTCAGACCTCACACATTTGATCTTCTTTCCTGTTTTCAACTCGATAGCAACTTTGAAAGACTTAAAGGCATCCAAAGAACTTGACTTTTCCTGAAGAAGATCTATCCATCCAAATCTAGAATAATCATCTATGAAAGTGATAAAATACCTATATCCACCCATGGCAATGGGTGTAATAGGTCCACACATATCAGTATGGATAAGCTGCAACACATCATCACACCTATTTGCACCTTTATTTCTGACTTTTGCAGTAAGCTTGCCCTTAATGCAGTCAACACAAGTGCCAAAATCAGAAAAATCTAGATTATGAAGAATACCCTCTTTAATCAACCTCTCAATCCGAGGTCTAGAAATATGCCCCAAACGTCTATGCCACAACATAGAGGAATTTTCATCAACTCTACTACGCTTATGCCCAACAACAGAATTAACAGACATGTCATTCAGATTCAACATGTAAAGCCCATCACATAAAACTCCTGAACCAACAGTAATGGAATTGAAACAAACAGCAAGTTTACCATTACCAAATTCAAAAGTGTAGCCACATTTGTCTAAAGCTGAAACTGAAATCAAATTCCTTCTCATGGAAGGTACATAAACAACATCTTTTAATAACAAAACATGTCCAGAAGGTAAACATAAAGACACTACTCCTATATCTTCAACAGATGCTCTAGCTCCATCTCCCATGATAACTTTGGA